CGCATACTATAAAGAACCGACTGCTCTTGTCTATCCCACAAACTTTTTATTCATACCTATATGAGAACACAGAGTATGTCTTGGCTTCCTGGTAGATTGACTTGTCTTCTTCCTCATATACAAAACTAAGGAAGAAACAGACCTGTTTCCACAGGTATCCTAATGTCTAACACATTCTTTGGTACATAATAGACAGGTTGGATAGAGTCTCAGTAAATGGTGAAGTAATAAGCAGGATGAGTTCAAGCAATTTAAGGTTACATGATAGAGTAAGTCTCTCAAAATGATAATTTATTTTATTTCATATACAGATAATGTCCAAGCCATCTCCTTAAAATTACTTCACTAGGCTCCCAGCCAGTTGGAGGCCATCCTCAGCAACTTGATAAGACCCTGTTTCAAGAATTAAAAAGGGATGAGGGTGTAGCTCAGTGGTAGTGCACCCCTAGATTCAATCCCCAGTACCCTCCCCACACACAAATTGACTCCTAATGTGGGTTTAATGAGAATATAAAAATGCAATAAAAGGTAATATTAGTAGTAGAGATGAAAATTTTAAAAATTAATAAGAAAAAGGTAATCTCATTTGTTTGCCTTGGGCAAAAGTTGTTCATTTCTCCAGTTATGAACTCTGGAACAATACTCCTCATAGAATGGATGAGCATCCATCAGAAAACATCATGTATTTTGGGAAATAGTAGATCCAAGATCACTACATGGAATTTTACCACTTCCTCAGTTACAAACAATACCTGTCCTTTCCAGAAATGTTCAGGTTTTGTTTTATTCTGATGCATTTTTCAAATGACAAATCCCTAAGGATTAGATCCTATAAGGTCTGTTTAGATAGGCATTTGGGAAATGCAGTTTGAAAGTGAAACTAGAGATAGTATAAGTCTCATACTGCTCAAGGGAACCATACACCAACAAGACATAACAATCATGAATGTATATGCCCCAAACAATGGTGGGCATATTACATTCATGATATCTTCTCAAGTCGAAGAACCAAATTGACCACAACACAATAATCTTGGGTGATTTTAACACACCTCTCTCACCACTGGATAAATCTTCCAAACAAAAGTTGAATAAAGAACCTATAGAACTTAATAATACAATCAATAACTTAGACTTAACTAACATATATAGATTATTTCAACCTGCATCAAGGGGATACACATTCTTCTCAGCAGCACATAGATCCTTCTCTAAAATAGACCATATAATATGCCACAAAGCAACTCTTAGCAAATACAAAAAAGTAGAGATACTACCATGCATTTTATCATATCATAATGGAATGAAATTGGAAATCAATGACAAAATAAAAAATAAAAATTTCTCCAACACCTGGAAACTAAACAATATGCCACAATGGATTGCAGAAGACATCAAGGAGGAGATTAAAAAATTCTTAGAGGTAAATGAGAACCTAGACACAACATATCGAAATCTCTGGGACACTATGAAAGCAGTACTTAAGAGTAAACTTCATTGCATGGAGTTCATTCCTTAAAAGAAGAAAAAGTCAACAAATAAATGACCTCACATTATATCTCAAAGCCCTAGAAAAAGAAGAACAAATCAACAGCAAAAGCAGTAGAAAGCAAGAAATAATTAAAATTAGGGCTGAAATCAATGAAATCAAAACAAAAGAAACAATTGAAAAAATTGACAAAACAAAAAGTTGGTTCTTTGAAAAAATAAATATAATTTACAGACCCTTAGCTATGCTAATGAAGAGAAGGAGAAAGAAAACTGAAATTACCAGCGTATGTGATGGAAAAGGTAATATCACAACAGACTACAGAGTGCAAAAGATAATTCGAAATTATTTTGAAAACTTATACTCTAATAAAATAGAAGACATTGAAGGCATCAACAAATTTCTTAAGTCATACGATTTGCCCAGATTGAATTAGGAAGATATACACAATTTCAAACAGATCAATATTAAGTGATGAGATAGAAGACGCCATCAGAAGCCTACCAACCAAGAGAAGCCCAGGACAGGAAGGATACACAGCCAAGTTCCACAAGAAGAACTACAAGTTGTACAAGAAGAACTAATACCAATACTCTTCAATTTATTTCAGGAAATAGAAAAAGAGGCAGGACTTCTAAATGCATTCTATGAGGCCAATTGCCGCAGTCTGGCTGGGCACAATTCAGGAGCCACTTGTCAAAAGAAACAAACTTTATTTTTAGAACCACACAGGCCAAACAAAACAGCTCCTCAGGAAAAACCCTCAGAGCCCAACTGCCACCACCGGCTTCCCACAAGCCTCTCCCTAAACCACCAGCCTCTCCACCTCCCACAATCCTCCTGCTCTTGAGGCTGATTGGCTGGGTCGTGTGGGCAGAGCCAAAAAAGTCCCTCAATGAGCAGCTCCGTGGTCTGAAAGGGCAGGGAAACAGCCCAATGTGCATCATCACAGAGGAGCCAATCAGCTAGATGTTGCTGGGGCCTCTGTGAACCAATCATCAGCTGGCAGCTGGAAGTTTGTTGGCAGCTGGAAGTTTGCTGGGGCCCCTTCGGCTGTGGCTCTCAACAGCCAATATCAGCCTCATCTCAAAACCAGGCAAAGACATATCAAAGAAAGAAAACTTTACACTAATATCTCTAATGAACATAGATGCAAAAATTCTCAATAAAATTCTGGCAAATCAAATACAAAAACATGTCAAAAAGATCATGCACCATGATCAAGTGAGATTCATCCCAGGGATACAAGGTTGGTTCAATACACGGAAATCAATAAATATAATTCATCACATCAATAGACTCAAAGATAAAAATCATATGATCATCTCAATAGATGCAGAAAAAAACATTTGAAAAAATACAGCACACTTCCATGTTCAAAACACTAAAAACCTAGAGATAACAGAAACATATCTCAACATTGTAAAGGGTACATATGCTAAGCTTCAGGTCAAACATCATTCTAAATGGAGAAAAATTAAAGGCATTCCCTCTAAAAACTGGAACAAGACAGGGATTCCCTCTTTCACCAATTCTATTTAACATAGTTCTTGAAACACCGGCCAGAGCAATTAGATGAAAGAAATTAAAGGAATATGTACAGGAAAAGAAGAACTTAAATTAGCACTATTGACTGATGATATGATTCTATACCTAGAAGACCCAAAAAGCTCCACGAGAAAACTTCTAGAACTAGTAAATGAATTCATCAGAATAGCAGGATATAAAATCAACACCCATAAAATCAAAGGTACTTCTGTATATCAGTGACAAAGCCTCTGAGAAAGAAATGAGGAAAACTAACCCATTTACAATAGCCTCAATAAAATAAAATACTTGGAACTCAACGAAAGAGGTGAACTATACAATGAAACTACAGGACCCTAAAGAAAGAAATCAAAGAGGACCATAGAAGATGGAAATATCTACCTTGCTCTTGGATAGGCAGGATTAATATTATCAAAATGACCATACTACCAAAAGAACTATACAGATTTAATGCAATTCCAATCAAACCCCCAATGGCATTCCTCATAGAAATAGAAAAAGTGGGTTGTGGCTCAGTGGTAGAGCACTTGCCTGGCATGCACGAGGCCCTGGTTCGATCCTTAGCACCACATAAAAATAAATATTTTAAAACAAATTTTAAAAAAAAGAAACATTAAAAAAAGAAAAAAAAAGAAATAGAAAAATCAATCGTGAAATTCATCTGGAAATAGCTAAATAAGGATGGCTAAAGCATACTTGGCAGGAAGAGTGAAGCAGGTGGCATCACTATACCAGACTTTAAACTATACTATAGAGCAATAGTAACAAAAACAGCATGGTAATGGCACCAAAACAGACTGGTAGACCAATGGTATGGAATAAAGGACACAGAAACTAACCCACAAAATTGAAATTATCTTATATTAGACAAAGGTGCCAAAAACATGCTTTGGAGAAAAGATAGCCTCTTGAACAAATGGTGCTGGAAAAACTGGAAATCCATATGCAACAAAATGAAATTAAACACCTATCTCTCACCATGCACAAAACTCAACTCAAAGTGGATCAAGGACCAGAGAATTAAACCAAAGACTCTGTGTCTA